ACTATGCTACTAACTATGCTACTAACTATGCTACTAACTATGCTACTAACTATGCTACTAACTATGCTACTAACTATGCTACTAACTATACTACAATTATATACTAGATAAGTTAAAAGAGAAATCTTGAACAAATAATGTGTACAAGAAAAAAAATTTCCATCCGGCGTTTCTCAGAAATTATGAAGAGACCTTAACTTTACGAGATAGGTATGGTGAAAATACAAAAATGGAATACATTGTCCAAAAATAATTATAACGGATACCACAACTAAAATTGGTAAGAATTTTCGAATCTAGGTATAATTCTTAACATCTCCAACATCGTTGCACTGAAATCTGGAATGAGATGCCATTTTTTGATTAATAAATTTACGGTTTTAGAAAATCATCAATGAGCTTATCGAACAATTTAAGGATGAATAATCGTAATCATAATTTTATTCTACAATAAGTGATGATACCATCTTCGAAGGAATGAGTTAATAGATCAACCACAATCCGAATTAAGAATCTGATGACCTTTTTCTGTAAATTTATTGGCTACGCTTTTTCATGCACCATATACGTATGCACAGTCGTCTTACTACACTAATACACTGTAATTTTGTCACTCCAATTATACTATCAGAGATTGCACTTGTATATCTGTATATGACAAATATACATGGAACTCTAAAGTTGGTGTATGAGAAGATTTTTTAAATACACTTCTTGCCACGATCTGCGTTAATTATTTACCAAGATCAGCGTTAATTATTAGTGGTTAATTAATACTCTGTTTGGATGCATGTTAATTAATACAAGACATAGACTTTTAATTTTGCTGATTGTTTGCACATATCGTATAAAAAACTCAAAGGAGTAGATAGGGACTTAAGTACTTACGTACGTGCGTGTACGAACGTACTTACGTACGTACGTGTACTAACGTACATCGTACGAACGTAGATCAGGTATTTATTTATGTGCCATTAAATTTATATTACCATCCATATCGCTATACGTATCGCTATATACCGTCACTATATAATATCTATATAATCACTACGTATACAGTAATAATTCTAAATAAACAAATAATAATTTATTAATAATGAAAAGGAACATGCTCATACGTTTCATATTTTCATATCTGTTACTACAAAGTATCTTTGACAAAAGAGGCTGACAAAGAATTCATTTTCACCTACCTTGTTAATCAACTGAATGCATATTTCATATAGAAATATGAACAATCATTGTATTTCTCTTTCGGGAATTCGGAATGTTAAATAACAATTTTATTGTAAAATAAAAATGTAGTAATTCCAAAGACGCGAAATCCAACAATCGGTATTTGGCGCAGTAGAAGTTCTTTAACTCATTTTTAGAAACTTCTTTTAGTATCATAATAGATAAATAACAGGTTGTAACAGGTCTTACAAAATTTACATTACGTTTAAATTTTTGGGTTATTACTGTATTAAAAATAATGATTGTCCGAAATAAGATGTAATACCATTTCCATTTATGAGCAACCACAACATATATTTGGATTAAGAAATAATGGTTTTATATCATTTTACATACGAGTTCTCCCTCAAGTTTTAAAAAGATTTTTTATTCTGAAAGTAATTATCGGAATTTACCACCCGATTTTTTAGATATCAAAGTTGGACAAGAACAAGAATGATTGTTACATGCAGTTCAATTATGCCTAAAACAGAGCATTCAAATCCAATAAGCTTCTTCCAATATATAAAGATCAGTTAATGCATATAAATGAACATGCGCTCCATGCATTAAAAAAAACTCGGTATTCACCAGTTCATATGTTAAGTATATTTTTTAGAGGCCAAGAATTCTTAGATACCATTTGGGTATTTTGTGAAATTGTTTTCATTCGCGGCACATCTATAAAATTCCAAATATTTAAATATTTACTAACCTATAATCGACTATCTGATCCGAGTCATGTTATAATCTATTTCAAATGTTTTACGTATAATTATAATGCTTAATTTAATTGTATGCGTGTTCTTACCAAAAATTTTATTAATATTTGTTACTGAAACATTTAAGTAATCATAGAATGTTACCCAGATGTGTTAAGCTTATTCAATCGTTTATCATATCATCATAAAAATTTGTAATTCATAAATTTATATTATCTACTAAAAAATTGTTTATTTTAATTATCACATTACAAATATCATAAATTAAAACATCTACATACGTATAATTCATTCAAGTATTTTATGTATCATAATAATAATTATCAATAAATAGTTTTCGTAATGATTTACGAATAATCACTTATTTTAAACATCAGTTTAGCCTTTAATGTTTATTATTGGTACGTACTCACCTCAACTTCCAAATATGTTGAAAAACATTACCATGCGAATAATCCCTTGCAGATTAACTCAATAAAATTGTTTGACCAATTTTCGATCGGTTTTTTTTTTTAGATTTTTCGATTTAATATTTAAAAAAAGGTTTTTCCACTTTTTTCCCCTTACAATTTTGATCTCGTTTCGGGTAATTCTTAATTAATTTGTTTTTTGTTTTTCTCCACTTTCAAATTTTTCAATGGGAAATTGTAGTTGTCGCTCAAATATAAATAATCAACTTGAAAGTGGTGAAGAACATGAGACGCAAGACCAGCTCTCTACCACGGAAAAGAGAAATAGACCTTCTTCAAAGAAACCTGTATTACCTACATTACCAATACCCGGATTTAATGAAGATGAAAATTTACGATATCCTCTTTATGATAATGATGACATAATCTCGCATTCACAATTACTACATAATATACACAGATATATATGGCAAAATAATTTTAGTTCCCCTGTAGACGATTTATTAAGAAAAGGACGTGCGAGAGTATTAGAAATCGGTTGTGGTGATGGAATTTGGACTATTGATTTGGCAAAAGAATTTACTTGGAGTCGTTTCACTGGTGTTGATGCTCATCAAAAGTTTGACCAAAGAGTTGAACATACAAACGTCACTTTCTTAAAAGCTGACGTTTTGGATGGTTTACCTTTTGACCCTGATACTTTCGATCTAGTCTTTATGAGATTCTTATCTTTTAGTGAAAAGCAATGGCTGGAAAAAGTCGCCAATGAGATAATTAGAGTTTGTAAACCTGGTGGTTGGGTTGAAATAATGGACTGTACTAACCAATACGCTCCAAAAGGTCCTGCCACAAGCCAATTGGAGATGGTGTGTATGTATTTTTCTTAATTGATTATCATTATTATTTTTATTATTATTATTATTTGAATTTTTAATTTTAAATTAATTAATAATTTAATAATTTATTTTTAAATTAAATTAATAATTTGTTAATTTATTATATAGACCACGAATATCTTAAATCTAAAAATACTGATTTAATATTAAATCCTCGATACGAGGATTACCTACGAAGTACAAACAAAATAACTGTGATACGAAGAGAAGAAAAAAGGATCACTTTAGGAAAAGGTGGTGGAAAAGTTGGTCCTCTTTTAGTACAGAATATCATTACAACCTGGGAGCAATCAAAAAAGTCACTGTCTGAACTCATGGGTGTCTCTGAGAAAGAATTTGATAACCTTACTCGAACATTTCAAAAAGAAATCAATGATCTAAAAACTTCTACAAGATACATAAGAATATACGGTCAAAAAGTGATTGAATAATCTAATAACGATCTAATAATGATCTAATAACGATCTAATAACGATCCTAATAACGATCTAATAACGATCCTAATAACGATCCTAATAACGATCCTAATAGCGCTCTAATAACGATCTAATAACGATCTAATAACGATCTAATAACGATCTAATAGCGATAATAGTAATAATACCCTTCATAATTTCTTAAAATTTCCTTGTGTATCTATTAACTAATTTTGTACAAAGTCATTCTCATGTCGATATGAATGTTTATAAAATTAATGAAAATGAAAATAAAACTGTCACCACATCAAGGTTAATTATTTTATGTACGTCCTTATGTACTGCACTGTACGTTATCGAATTCGAATTCAAATAGTGTAAATTATGTATGAATGCCTTTATAAGTTGAAGATAGCATTTCACAAAGTATTTGAGTGCCGCCAAGGAAAAGGGCACCTCGGCAATTTAAGTATATTACTTATTAATTATCAACGATGCAGATCGGCTTTCAATTTATAACAAACATTAACGTTAATTAACGTTAATGTATAATTTAAAGCCGATCTGCATCATTGCTGAACTCGATAATTAATCAATAATATACTTAAATTGCTTAAATTGCCGAGGTGCCCTTTTCCTTTGGCGGCACTCATTTATAAATATATAGTTTTTTTAACATTCCTATAATTTTATGATTTATATAATTTCCAATTTGTTAATTATCAACTTTATCGACAAAAAATACTCGTTCACGAGATCGCTGTAGAATAAAATCTCTTCCTATTACGACTACATAATGTTTCAAATTACTGAAATTGTTTATTCGATCGGTCATAAAATCAAATATCGGCGTTGATCGATCCTTGGCTATGATCTAAGGTAGTATTTCTAATTAGTAAATCTGTGTTCATAGTCGCGGAAGTAAATGAAACTTTAACTTTAAATTTTAAGTTTATTAAGGGACCATGTGAGTCGGTAAGTAATTTATTACACGAAAAAATTCGGAAACATAAAACTTCCGGCTTTCATTTAATAACTCCTGAATAATAAAAAATCGTTATTTGAACGATTAAACGTGTTTCGTTTTGATAAAAATTTTTTTCGAATCATTCTAGTTCTAGGTAAGATTAAAATAGTAAAAAGTGATGATTGTCATGATATTCATTAAGACATTCAGGAAATCAGTCATGTATGTATGAGACTTTCACTTTCGGCCGATATCATGTCATTCACTTTTTGAAAATGTCATCAATTGATTTTTTTTTTTATATATTTATATTTGGAAATTAATCAAACATTTTCCACCGATAATTTTAATCAAATTAGAAATCACACGGGACATTCAGGAAACCAGTTATGTATGAGACTTTCATTTCATTATCTTTTTGAAAATGTCGTCAATTGATTTTTTTTTCTTTATATATATTTATATTGGAAATTAATCAACCATTCAGTGTTAATCGAATTAAAAATCTCACATAATTTATTACACCAAATCTAATTTTATTATGCTAAATCAATTGATTAACGTTGGCTTAGCAAGATTAACATTTACTTTTTTTATGTTAAATCAATTGATTAACGTTGGATTAGCGTTAGCAAGATTAACATTTACTTTTTTAAAATTTCATTTCTAATTATATAGCGATAGAGGAAATATAAGTCATTGATTTTATATAATGATTTTAGACGCGTGGTTCATGACGTGATTACTGTGATACCTCAAAATTACTCGAAATCCATCCGGATTAGTAAAACAATTATTTTTTTTTTGATTCATATGTGATCTATTTACAGAGACAAATACCAAGAAATAACTCATTTCATGATAAATATTTGCTTGTCGGTGGAGGAATATTTAAACTATGCATCCCTACTAGTCTATTGATGAGAAAAAATTTACCGTCTGCATGAAGATATTTAGCGCTATTATGTTCCACAAAGTATCATTGACGTGATAGTCATACGGAAATATTAACTTTATATATATATATATACTGAAAACAATGATTTTATATTAAAAATTAATATTTATTGGCTCAAAGTTGCTTTTAAGAGGATTTATAGTTTACGCGATCTTGAAGTTATTAAAGAAGAGATACAAATTTTGATATATCCTGGAAAGACCTTCAGCGAGGGTCATTCCTCCGACAAGTCATTTGTTCGACATCAAGGTTGATAATTTAGATTTTATTAGTTTGTAGGTATATATTGTACTCTTTAGAGAGCTTGGTCATTAATGATGATTCGGAACTTATGCAATAATTACTTGAAAATTAAAAAAATAATTTGTGGTACAAAATTTTCTTATGTATTGTTATATTTGAATTCCCACTAAAAATATCAAAAATAAACATACTCTTCGAAATCTTCCTCTTAATTATCTTAATTATTATATAAACTCTCAACTATGTACTAGACCCGGAGTTTATTATAGGTTTCAAAATTGGTGAAATGAAAGATAGTACCCTAAGCCATGGTGAAAAAGAAGTGACGGTCATGGTTAGATTCTACTTGAACTATCATGCTCTGATTAGAATATCAATTAACATATACTATGACGTATTAACGTGACATATTTTATATCAGTCAGGGAAGATGTCACACCTGTTGATATGTGAGTGTTAATATATAATAAAAATTCTAATAAAAACATATAAATTTACTATAAACTTTAAGCTCAAGATTCTTTTCAACTTACAAATTAACTTATTTTCAAATTTTGAAAGTTAAACATATCAAGAATAGTAAAATAAGATTACTTAAAATAACTTTTTAAAATTTTATAAAGAAAAAGGGTGTGGTAACTTAGAGTAATGGTTAAGTTGTTACTTTCCAAGTGGCAGGTCTAGAGTTCAAATTCCACTGAAGACGTTTTTAGAAAAATAGGCCTGTATTCTGGTAACAATTATTCAATGATCAGTTGGGTATATCACCTGTAATCTTGGTACTACCATCTCAAAATGGAAGCTCTTGGGTGATTCAAATCTAAGGAACCAGAATAATTGAAACCCATTTGGCAAGACCTGAGCAAGGAGGTAGTGAAGATCTTTGATAATACTGTAGAAAGTTAGAAATCAGAGACAAAAAACTGGATGAAAATTCTAAAGCAAGAAGAATCTACCAACCTAATCACTGGAGTCATATTAGAGGAAAAGGTTCTATGTTATAAATTAAAACCCAAGTGAAGTAAAACCAGAAGGCATTTAAAGCTTAGATACAATGATTTATTCAGATTAACTGGTTTGGTAGTTTGGAAGAGATTGGTATAAGGACTGGTTTAATATGAGTATCGAAATTAGAACGAACTTTATAAGGGTACCAAATACTAGAATTGTGCAGTTTAATAGTTAGCCTAACTGCTAGTGGTGGTTTCAGCTATTGCAGAAAGTATTTGTTGTCTAATCTGGAAATGTGTAGGACATAAAAAGATTAAAGAGTATGTATTACACCTCCCCTAAAGCAATCCAGTAGTATAAGAATCTTACTAAATTATCTATAAAATTAGAGTCAAGTAACATAGCATATGTCGATCTGAATAGTTTTTAATTGAAGCAGTATGAGGTTATAGACTGGTGTAATTGTGATGATGGTGCAGCACAAGTGATATCAAAGAGTTTAAATAAGTAATCTCCTAGTTAGGTTACAGGTACAGCATATAGTGTAGAACCTTTAGGTGGACTACTTAAATAGGCAACCAAAAATTGCACATGTAGCTAAATATATTTTTGTTAACCAAAAATGTATGGATATTCTATAGAATAGGTGGGCAAACTCCACCAACTTTGTAACTCTGATATTAAAAAATTAATAATTACTAATCATTAGCAAAGCTTATTTCTTATATTGCCTATTTATTCTATAGAGCATCTGAATGTACTACTAAAATGCTTAATAAAAATTTGCCTTTCTATGACTTGTGAAGGTAAAAAAAAATATATATATATTTTATAAAAATTTAAGATTTTACTAGTAAAATTTTATAAAAAAAAATTTTTATTAATTTTAAAGCTACCCCCACTTTTGTTAATGCCACCTCCTATATAACACTAACTGGTCTAAATCTTGAAAATTCTACAAATAGTATTTAGAAACAGTGTGAATTCATATGATTAATTAAGTTAGCAATTAGGGTAAGCATTGTTTATAGAGTTCCGGAAAGGTTAAAAATCAATTAGAGCTATGTAGGAGGTGATATTAACAAAAATAGGATGTGGCATTAACAAGTCTCTATATAAATTTAGATTTTTTTTTAGTAACACTCATATGTAAAATTTTATGCTAAACAAGTTAGTTTAAAAAATAAAAATAGGTTGTCTTAGTAGAAAGAAAGTTTGTTATAAATAAACTTTAAAATTTTATGTTTTTTTTATATAAAACTTTTTTTTACTAAGATAATCTATTTTTGTTTTCTAAGTAAATTTGTTCAGCATAAAATTTTACATATTTTATATCTTGTCAAATTTCAATTTTTTTTATTAAAAAAAAATTTTATATAATTTTAGTTCAGCTTTTAATTAGTAAAAAGTTTAAAAAATAAAATTTGGCAAAATATTAAGTATGTAAAATTTTGTGCTAAACAAATTTATTTAGAAGACAAAAATAGATTATCTTAGTAGAAAAAACGTTTATATAAAAAAAATATAAAATTTTTGAAGTTTATTATAATAATATTTTTTTACTAAAACATCTTATTTTTATTTTTTAAGCTAATTTGTTCAATATAAAATTTTATATATAATTACATTCTCAAAATTAAGAAAGTTTTTTTATAAAATTTTACTAGTAAAAATTTCAATTTTATAGAATTTTAAAAAGTTATTTTTTTTTACCTTTGCAATGTTATAAACAGATGAATTTTTATTAGGTATTTTAGTAGTACATTCTTGGTTAATAAAAGTACATTTAGCCACATGTGCAACTTTTGGTTGACTATTTAAGTAGTTCACTTGAAGGTTCTATATTATATGCCATACCTGTAATCTAACTAGGAAGCTACCTATTTAAACTCTCTG